CCTGATTTTTTTCAGGCTTCTTCTTGCCAATTGCTTAAATTGGAAAATTAACTGCGATGATCATTCTTCACTTTCATCTACAACCGCAGTTCATGTATGAACTATTTCATATAAACTTCACATCAATGATCAATATATTGACAGTTCTTATTAAAAACTGGATCATTGGGTAAGGCAATTTGAGAGTTTTCATTGGCTTAGCCATCATAGCTTATGAGCCATTATACCATGCTTTACAAATATAGTAAGCGAAAGCATGATATTTTGGGATGGTTTTATTTTTACTTTGGTTTAGTTTTCTAAATCTTTTGGAGGCATTTTTAATAACAAACTTATTCGACTTGCACTTGTTGGATATGAGATGGTTATGATTATACGAGATGATCATTGGATACGAGATGAGATGATTATAGCCAACTTGGCGCTATGTGCTTTGTTGACTATCTGCCACCTCATATCCAACATGCTCTTGTAGAATAATTGACAGGTAATGAGAATAAAGAAATTCGTCAATCAGAGGATAGAAGCATTTTTGCAATACACTTCAAAATCAGCAATCAAAACATTAAATATATATTTCAAGATATACCCATGTATAGCCTCAAGCAAGAACAGTTTCTAAATTAACATTAGGGTTTATACCTCTTGAAGTTTAGATGCCAAGTCCTTGTTCCATATATTCCAGATTGCTTTAAAAGCAGCAGTTCCAGCTGCAAACCCAACTCCTGCACTCGCTACACCACACAAACCACAAAAAATTATGGGATCCATTCCCCTTCAAAACAACAACAAAAAATAATATAATTATGTAAATAAATACCTTTAGTAGCAAGATATTTCTATTGACTTAAAAAAGCAAACTTGTAAAGTAAATTTGTATGCAAGGCATGGAGACCTGATGTAAATGATTAATCTGTGATTAAAGATGGCTAGGTGGTTTACCCCCACCTTGACACGTTTGTAACATGGCAAAATGCAACCCCACATGACAGGGTTACCCTATACAGCAAACTGGGCAACCCACTGATCATGTCAATATATTAAAATTAAAATGAGATATTATACATCAAAATCTGATAAGAACAAAAAAGTGACACACAAGGCAATAGCCAAGTGTGTCTCTGATGTTCATACCACATTTTGATGTCCTTTGTGATCTATTACTGAACAAGCGCACAGCAACATTACAAGAAATCTACTTGTTTTACATAGTAAAGAAACACAAAAGGAATAATAATAACATTATTTAAGTGACTGTCCCCCAATAGATCATAAGTAAGAACCAATCAAAATACAAGAATAATTTGACTCGCAGGATGCACGACGGCGACGACAACGACGACGCAGTCGCGCAACATGGCGGCCATACTCCAAACAATAGGTTGACAGAGACATGCAGCTTTGGTTCAGCACGTACTTCTTTGACATTGGACATCCATGTTATGATCAATTGACACCTGTCAAAACAAGGTATCCGCTGACCAGTATCACATGACCATATCGCAGGTTCAA